GAAAACCGGTCGAGAGAAAGGGAGGCTGCCGAACGACGAGTTTACATCGAGCAAATGGAAACGCGCGAAGTGTTACGAGACGGAGGGTGGGTCAGAAACGTCGTCACGTTGTTACACAGTAGCCCGTGTGTACGCTATCCCATGGGGAGAGCGAAGGTAGCACGTAGCACACCCCTGGGACGTCTTCGGTCGTCACTTGTCCGTATTAAACCAGGGTACTAATCCCGAAATTTAATTTGAAAATCTTTTCATAGCATCGTCGTTCATCCCTTCTTCTTGTCCATCTTTCTCCAGCTCTCCCTTCCGCGTGTTCGCTATGCACCGCGAAGTCGTTTTAAACCCAGAGAATTACCCGGTCTTTTGTGCGTCGTAATTGAAAATTCGTTTCCGCCCCTTTTCGCGGCTCGGAGAACGGATAAATGCCCTTTCGTGGATTCATCGAGAGAAATTACCTCGTCGCCGTGTGAATGAGACGACCCGTCGTCTTCTTGTCGTCTTCTTCTTGGTCCCGTTCCGCGAGACGCCCGATTTCCTCGTTTCGGCCTGGCTGCCATTTTATAAACGAAACTACGTAAATACGAGACGAGCTAGTGAAAGCAGCTGGATGATTAACGAAACAAATGCTAGTTTCCTCGCCGTTTTCGTGCTGGTATCGCAAACATTGTCAGGAAAAATTGAACCTGTCCCGTAACAATGGATAATTAAAAACTCATGGATTATCTCGTTATCGAACAACAGATTGTTATCAAGAAAGTAATTATGTACTGTCTTAAATATCATTAAAGAAATGCTACTAATTAATAAATTGTCCTTTGAAAGTTTATTCATAAGGTGCAATCGTTTGTTAGTCATTCGTAATTCAGGATGTGAAATCGGGTAGTAATCCCATCCGATATTACGAGTCAATTTGATACGTCACCCCTCACTTTGCTCTACCTATCATTGATTCCCAGGAATCAACGCGTGAAAGATAAAGATAATAAGGTGTATTCGTACAGTTATTACAAATTTTTAAAGCATCACAAAATACGCAGTGGTAATTTTATCACTGGCAAATAACGAAAACGATTATAAATAATAATAAAGTTAATATAGAAATCTCAAAATGACTCCGTCACTGATTTCTCTATCGATAGTAAGATTTATTTCTATAAAAATAAAGAATCAGCTAAGTAACGACAACTGAGGCCAACGGAATCCAAGGAAAGTCATCGTTTTTACATTTGTGGAACCTACACATACCCCCTCGGACACAGAGTGCGAAATACCGACGCAACATGAAAAATGCATCAGATAGAGAATTATTTATTGAGCGCGTGAAACATGTAACGTAGTCGTTTACATAGCCGAAAGGGCGAATGGAGCGTATCCGAGTGCAGTCGATGCTGGGATACATCCCTCGGGATGTTTCGGTAGATTAGGGACCCTCAACGCTAGGTAGTTTTGCTGCACCATGTAACACGCTGTAAAACACTTGTAACAGACCGACAGTAGCTTAGGGTAAGCTGCTAATGCTTTCACGATGTTTTCGGGGTCGAATTAATTTGACCGGTTCGATCGCGTGCCCTCTAGAGACTTCAACTCGATTCGCCTCGTGCGTTTTGTCTCTCTTCGCATTTTTTCAATCTTCCTTTATTTTTTCAACGCGCTTAAATTAGAATTCCGTAATAGAAAGAAAAAATGGTTGTCCGAGAAGCATTGGTAACAGATTCAAATTGCAGGGTTGCATAGTAGAGAAAGATGGGCGCTGTAATTATTTTAGATACAGCGTTCGAGGCCGACAATGGTAACGAAGACGTATAATTAACGTTCAGGAGGTGACACGGAGGGAGATGAGTTTTCTTTTAAGCAGCAGGAATTACGTTGTTTCTCGAGCCACCGATTCGCGCATCCAGCGTGCATAATACAGCAGTAATTAAGTTCTCGGGTAAAACTAGTTCCCGACAGGTTATTTCATGAAAACTCGACGGTTTAATCACGGTTACTGCGAAACGCGTTTCATCGATCCCGGACTTCACAATCAGGAGACCGTGGCCCCCTTGAATGGCGATAATTAATGAATAGGACGCGGCCGAAGAAAAAAAAAAACGAGAAAAAAATAGAATAACGAATTCGTGGGCGTACTTCTTGGAAGCGCTTCTCGACTCTTTTGCTCTCGTCTACCCCACGCGGTTCCTCCGTTTCTTTTTCTTCCAAGGGCTTCACACCTCGTGGTCAGAAACGTGTTTTCACGAGCGTCTCGTACCATTCTCCGTAGCCCGCGGTGGCCATGCTCGAAATTCGACCCTCTACGAATGGTGTGAATATTATGATGGCCACGCATTCAGGTGCCAGCTAGAGACAATGGGTAAAGTGTTGATTGCCCGAAAACAACGCGTTTTTTTACTTACACGAACGTACTTTGTTCTACGCTGTTCGTGAGCAACTAGTCTTCCGTCGTAGAATGTTCAAGGTCTTCTTGTTCGTCCACCGAATAGAAAGTGGTCTTTTCTATCGATTCCACAAAACTACGTAGTTTCCTTTGCACGTCGTAGTTTCTTGTTCATAATTAAATCGAACCGAGCGAATAGTCTTA